TAACCCACATCAAAAGGCAGCTTTGTTTCTCTGTCTGACTTTCATTACAAATAGAGAGACTTATGTAATTAATAGTTTGCATCGCAGATTCCTGCAGGGTTCATACTTTTCTATTTATAAGGCTGGAAAGATTGATAATCGTTAAACATTTTATTGCACAACTGGAAGCTATAATTTGCCATATACCCCCTAATGTTTTTATTTGCGTTTACACTGTGTTTGAATCCAGCAAGAGAATGCTGCTTAGGACAAGTGAGTGCATGTTCAGCATTGTAACAAACAAAATCTGCCTTGTGAAGGTTGTTCCCTTAAAACCCATCCAAAATCGTCTTGTTTCACCAACCTACAGTTCCGCTGCCATCATGGACACAAGTTATCATAGAATCATAGAATTACACAGCACAGAATGAGGCTATTCAGCCCATCGTGTCTGTGCCGGCTTTTTGAAAAGAGCTATTCAAATCAATCCCACTCCCCCGCTCTCTCCCCATAACCCTGCAAACTTGTCCTCAAATAATTATCTACTTCTCTCTTAAAAGCTGTCATCGAATCAGCTTCCACCACCCTTTCAGGCAATGCATTCCAGATCCAAACAACTCGCTGTGTGAAAAAATTTCTCCTCGCCTTCCCTCTGTTTTTTTTAACAACAACCAGTGCTTTGGGACATCCTCCCGACGTGAAAGGCATTGTGTAAATGTAATTTTGTTGTTGTATTTTGTTGTATTTTAAATCGGTGCCTCGGGTTACCGACCCACCCACCAGTGGAAGTATTTTCTCCTTGTTCACCCTATCAAATCCCCTCATAATTTTGAAAACTTCTATTAAGTCTCCTCTTAACCTTCTCTGCTCCAAGGAAAATAATCCTAGCTTCTCTAACCTCTCCTGATAACTGAGGTCCCTTATTCCTGGTACCATCCTGGTAAACCTCCTTTGCACCCTCTCCAATGCCTTGACATCCTTCCTAAAGTGTGGTGCCCAGAACTGAACACAGTCTCTAGCTGAGGTCTAACCAGTGTTTTATAAAGGTTCATCATAACTTCCTGACTTTTGTATTCTATGCCCCTATTTATAAAGCCTAGTATCCCGTATGCTTTTTTAACAGCCTTATCTACCTGTCCTGCCACCTTCAAAGATTTACTTATATGAATCCCCAGGTCTCTCTGTTCCTTCACCCCTTTAAGATTGCTTGCAGCAAAAGGCATTCCTAACTGTGTGAAAAGGCTTGAAATGCATGAATTTGGGGCCACTTTAAAATACTGAAGGGAGATAAACAAATTGGAGCAATTTCTTAATTCATGGCTACGTATAGGTTGCATATTCGGGATTTTATCCTTCTGCAGTTTCCATTGCAATTTTTGTTTTGAACTAATGTACAGTAAACTTAGCTATTTAAAGCCAGTTATTGGTGGTTTATTCTTTAATTTAGAGAACATCAACAACAACTTGCATTTATGTAGCATCCTTCAAATGGGGGGAATGTCTTGATGTGCTGAAAGGATTCGGGGAGGGCAATTGCACCTTTTTCTCTAACATCAAGCATCAAATTAAGGACAACACAATAGAAAATAGAAACAAAATGAATAGGAAGTGGAGGAGAAATGTTTTAGTAAAAGGTTGATAATCACGTGGAACAAACTAAGTGGTGGAGCAAGGAACTATCTCAAAAGGCTTTAAAAATAAACTGAACTAGTTCCTGGAAATTAAAAGCATTCGGCTTTATATAATAGAGAGACATGATGAAGTAAGCTTTGGGAATGGTTTGATGGCAGATGCACCAATGCCTAAAACTGTTACCACGTTACTGTGTTACAAACACAGGAAATTTGTAGAAAATCATTCACGCAGACGTTAACTGGCAAAATGTGTAAGCATTAAGTGTTGTGAAGAGAGTTCAGAACTTGAACTGCACATAGTGTGTAGGAATTCAATAATTTCATCAATTTGAGAGAGTGCTGTTTTGAAGAGGCGAACATTAGTATCCTGGAAAGATTGTACCAGTTGCATTCAGAACCGATTTTTTAATTATGTCCCGTTGGTATCTGTTTTGGGGCTGTCTTTCAGTCCTCTTCATGTGATGCCTTTTTATGTATAAGAGAAATCTTCAGAGAATGGCAATAATCGTTTTAATGAGCTATTAAATTTTTTTTAGTGCTCTCCTAAGCGATAAAAAGCTTGGCCGGTCACCTCCCGATTACAGTAAATGATTTCACCTTAATGCATTATTGATTCATTTGTGTGTATGTACAATGTATTTTTGTCAATCTATAATCATATAGGAGTATGAATGTGTGGTGCATAGGGCTAAGCTTGAACTGAAATACTTCTAACGGTGAAAACATATCCACTAAAATAAGACTAAATGTCAATTATGTCTGGAGACAAAGGGATGAATTCACCTCGACCATTTTCCTTTTTGTTTTGGAAGAATGAAATACCAATATGGGTTTGTTTTCATTCTCTTTCTCTTGTTCTTCTTTCATGGTACATATACTTAGAAGTTGCCTTTTGCAAAATGTACCGCATGTAATAACCGTAGGCACCGGACTATATATTTTTGAGTGTAATTGATAAAAATACAGAGAGTTGATACATTTTAAAGATCAGGTAAGAAAATGTTATCAGTTCAGAATTTATGAAAATTTACCATTCGAGATCTTCTTTGAGTTTACTGAGGAAATATGATTCCAGGAAAACAATATTTAGCAAATAACATTGTTCAAGTTTATATTTTCTCACCTATCTTAAAAAGTGCTACTGCATGTTAATTTTGATGTTAATTGTTTGCAGTAGGCTTCCTAATGTTGCTTCTAGTGCTGCCTGCACACACTTATTCAAAGGCACCGCAGTGTAAAATGTCTGTGCCCAGATGTGTATGATTGCTGCAGAGCTGGATGCTGCCAGTGGATTTGTATTGTTCCCTTCTTAGGATAAATTATCTCTATATCCTGATCAGAAATACTTGTCTTCTGGCTCCATGGTTCAACTAATATTGTCAATTTTGCTGATGGGATATGGTAAAACGCTGCATACTGACTTTTTTAAAAATACACTTTCTAGATTTACAAAAGAAGCCTATCTTGTACAGTTAATCATTTCCTCACAATAAAATTTACACTAATTGAACATGGCCTAATATGTTTACTACAGTATTTCCCTTACCATTAGATGTCTGGTCACTGCTTACCCCAAATGAATGGGCACCTCCTTCCTCCAAATCAAAGAACATTCTCTTAGTCGATCAGCGTGTGATTAGCTCCCCAGCAAGGTTGAAAAATAACATCACTTGAATAGTTCAACAGTGTCTGACCTGTCAACATCACAGGGAAGTGTGGAAATACAATGGCGGTTTAAAAATTATTTTTAGGAGATTTAACATCAACAAGTTGCATTTAGATAGCGCCCTTCACGTAAAAGAAACGTTTCAAAGCTTTTTACAGAATGAAATTAATTAGAAATGAATCGTGTGTTGTGCAAGCAATCACAGCAGTTTGTTTGAGTTGTACAATGAGAGCACAGAAATGTTCTTATTCTCTGAACACAGTGAACATGCAAAAAGATTTTGTGAACTAAACAAGAATATATTGTTGTGAAAATATCCAGGTATAAATAAATATTCACACATTTCATCTTATAATTTTACTTTTGAATTAATCGGAGGGTGAGAATTTAAAAGCTGTATTTTTCTCGAAAACTACCCTGTTTATCCCAATCTTACTAGTAAGAGAGTAAACCTTAACAATTGTGTTTCATTTAGCATATTATCACATTATCAAGATGTTTCAAAGCGTTTTACTATAGAGTGTAGTGACTGTCTATTTTGTAGGCTATGATAACATTGGAGATCAAGAAACTAATTTGATATATTTTTGTCAATAATACCAATAATTTTAAACCTCATGTTTAAAAAAAGGCTAATAAAGTCCAATCAAACAGCAGACTATGTCTCGACACAATTGGAATAACATTCTGGTAATAAATCTAATAATTATTCATTCCTGCATTGAACTTTATTAATTGCAAAATGGTTGATGAGTGATCAAATGTATCAGTACCGACCTTGGCTATTAGCAAAGTGGTCCTTGTCGATAGCCTATTGACAGTGGGGAAGTGATGCAGTGTCTGGATGCTTGTGGTTACGAAAGTAGTTCATCCTGCAGGTGTGCTCTTGAGACTCTGGCTGATTTGCGTCAGATGATTTTGTAACCGTGGAAGTGATGCTAGGCATGGCCTTGTGTTTGTTTTGGTGTTCATCGGCAGTACTTTCAGTTTTAAAGTGCATTTATTGTAGTATGCGTTATAAACAGACTTTCTGCTCGAAATGAAAGAGAATAAAAAAATCATTTCTTTCATTTACCAGAAAGTGCATAATCCAAAATGCCCACAGATTTTGTCTTCCCAGAATCACCTTTATATACATTCCCTGGCCCATTTCTCAGTGGGTAAACATATTGTTCATCTATCTACTTACACCCTTCATTTAGTTCTCTATATACACACACATCCTCTGCTGTTTGTATCCTCTGTCTTTGTGGTTGTAAAATGTGCATCCCCTTCCCGTCAGACCTGACCCAGACCAGTGCTCCTTGTTCCTTGGCTGATTGGAGACATGCTCTGCTGGCATTGCGTGATATGAAAGTGTTGGGGACACTCCAGCTGTGTTGAATATCCTTTGTGTAGACCAACAAACTGGCGCAGTCTATTGTCAGTGACTAGAGAGTCCTGAAGGTCTCAGAAGAGCAGTGTGGTTTACTCACTACCCAAGACAAGTAATATGTAGTCTTTTCAATTATAGTGTTTGTTTAACCTTTTCATTTCTGATTCATAATTCATTATTCTAAGAATCTTGACCAGGCATTGAATTTTTTTGGGGGTGGGGGGGAATCAGAGACACAGGTAGGGTAGGGGAGCACATGTTCTCAGCCTTAAGGACATTGTTTTAACATTTTCAATTAATATTGTCTTAATATTGAAGCCGACTTTCCACAGTTCTTTTTGGCACTATGAAGATTTGTGGATCCCTGGCATTTAATTTCCTGGTGGTATTTTCAATCTTTTGATTAAAGAGAGTTCTTGGGAGTATTTCTGTATGGCTCAGATCCCAGACTCTGCTGGTCAGTGCGTATACACTGTCTCGGTTTATTCTCTTTTTTTCTAGTCATTGCCCTTTGCCTCTGGGTGCCGCAGATTGATAATAACTGTTTGGCTCATTTATTGGATGAAATAAAAGACGAGTTCAGACCAATTCATTGGCACAGAGTAAATGCAAGTTTGGAAGAGCCCAGTAATAATAGATGATGCATAACTCTGACTAGCAAGATTTTCATGCAATGTTTAACTACCAAACAGTCAGCAGATGTTGCCCACAAACTGGAGCCTTTCAGAGAATCTAATCTGCTAGATACACAGAGAGTTCTTATCTTTCAGTCCTAACGTTTGATTGATAGAAAGCTTCTGTGCAAGCCTGCAATGTACTGTCTGTCCAGTTCTGAGTCAGATCAGGGACAGGAACAGTGAGATACACAATCCAGGTCAGGGCATGTTACCATCGGTTCCGTTTGCTTTACAATCCGAGTCCTCAACTTGGAGCTCTGTTTGTACAGTTTCATATATTAAAAAAAGGTGACAAATGTCTCTCAATGACTGCAATGTGATATACAATCGGAGTTTTGAGATCTTTGAATTTACCAGGAAATTGTAAGTCCAGGAAACACTATTTAGCAAATAGCTAAGATTCTAAATACTACTGTGCACTTTCCTGTATAGTGCCTGTCCATTTGAGCAACTGATGTAGCTAAAACTACATGGACATGAACCTTTTATTTATTCAAAACAAATTTGGCCACTCGATCCATCCATGACTGTTTGTGGGACACTGCTGTGCACAACTGGCTTCTGCGTTTCACCCACATAATATACAGTCCAGTCACTTTACAATATATTCTGTGAAGCACTTTGAGATGTCTCAACAACGTGATAATGCGCCGTATCAAATGCAAGGATTATTATTATTATTAATCTGACAATCTCCTTTTTCCCCTCTCTCTTTTAGGCCATCCGCTGCACTCTGGTAAATTGCACTTGTGAATGTTTCCAGCCGGGGAAGATAAACCTGCGGACCTGTGACCAGTGCAAACATGGCTGGGTGGCTCACGGTAAGTGAGAGAGGAAAGGGTGTCCTGGAATAAGGTATTAACAAGTATTACACTAAGTCTGCACTTTGCATCCTTTTCACCCACAAAATATACAGTCAATTCACCTTACAGTATATTCTGTGAAGCGCTTTGAGACGTCTCGAAGACGTGATAAGCCGCTATATCAAATGCAAGGACTATTATTTTTATTATATTTTCATTTCTGAATCAAACTTTTTAAATCATTCTATAAATTTACAATCGGAGTTTCAAGATCGTTGAATTTAGCAGGGAATTGAAAGTCCACTTCAGCAACTTTTACTTACTGTCTGAGGCTGTACGATTATGTAAAAGTACATCACAAGCCATTTAACAAAGATCACAGTGAACATTGAGCTAGGATTATTATTATTATTTTACCCCATATTTGGGTGAAATTTGCAGCATCTCATGACAATAAATGTCACAAGGAAAGTGTGTTGTATTGTTGCTTACGAGTCCTCAGCCTTGTCAGCTTTGAGACGTTTCAGTGATGTGATAAAGGTCTATATCAATTGCAAGGATTATTATTATTATTATTATAAGCATTTCACAATCTGTAACTGCAGGACTTGAGGCTCACAATATACCTGATGCTCCAGTGCAGTGATCGGGAAGCATTGCACTTTCAGAGGTGCTGCCTTTTGTATAACATTAAACCGAGGAGGTCCCTTCTGCCCGTTAAGATGGACGTTAAAGTTCCCATGACATAGTCAAAGAGAGAGAATAGAGTTCCTCTCTGTGCACAGCCCAACATCGGAGGAGGGGGAGAAACTATTTAAAAAAAACAGATGTTTTGTGTCTGTGTCTGATGCTTTATATTTCAAATTTTCCAGACAGTCCACCCAGTAGCTGGGTGTCTGTCTGAAAAGACTTGATGGTGATGGTAGTCCTCGCTCAGATTAATCACCTTTTCATTAACCTTTTCAAGAAGCCAAGTTCTCATCAAGTGCAGCCCCATTACGCTGTAGCTTTGAGACACAGAGCACAAGTCACTTCTGGCTGGGGTCACATGCTGCTGGTTCTACAATCAACAGGACTCCTTTCATCAGACAAGCCACATTTATTCTTCCTTTCATGATTTTTAGACAATAACCTTTCAAGACCTCTTTTTTCCATGATAAATATAAGAAACTTAAAAAGAAACACCTGTTTGTCTTGTCTTGTAGGTGGGATTTGGCCAGTTCAGGCATGGCTGACCCGAGCAAGCCAAGAGCCATTGCTACAAAACCACATTACCTGTCAAAGAGAGAGTGAGAGGAGTGTTTGTGGTGGGGGATAGAGAAAGAGAGAGAGAGAGAGATGCCTGAAGAAATATTTTTCATGTTAACGTTGGCAGCCTCTCTGACAAGTACTTCTTCATTTTTATTATGCTCATGTCTGGCAGAATGTGTGTCAGACAAATCTCGTCAGCAGCAAACCTGTCGTAGGATCAGAGGAGACAAAAACAGGTGTCACATCCACGGTCAAAACTCCAAAAGATTAGCAAAGGAGAAACGTCAGACAATTACATTAATGCTGCCGCTTTTATCTGGAGATGTTATTATCTGTAGGTGCTGACTGCTGCGCGATTGCCTCAAAGAACATAAGGCAGCAGACAAAGGAAACTTGATAGTTATTGAATAAAATAAAGGCAGTGTGCGGAGATAGGTTTAGGCTTTTAAAATTTGGAGTGAAAGTTGCAGAAGAGCACATCTTAGCAGCATCATGCTCGTGGCTATGAGAATCAGCAGAAATCTGAAGTGTCATTTGGAATAAGATAACTGGAAACTCTGATAAAAGTTTCCTTTTTAATGTGATTTTAATTTATTCTGTGTACATGATCTGTCCGAGATAACGGTTGTTATCGCATTGTAGTGAAGATAAATTGATTATCACACATTAGCAGACAGCTCCATCACTTCCAATCACTATATAGCCCTTGCCAAAAATTAGCTTAATTCCCCTATTTTTGTAATTGTTTTAATTGTGAACAGTCTATGCAACATCAAAGGGTGCACCAGGCTCTCCAGCAGTAACGGTTGATGACACATTAATTTGGAGTTACCCGTTTCTAAAATAAATTTAGATCATTGATATATACACATTTCTGTTCGCAAGACACCCTCAGTGAAGTAAAAAAAATTATCCAGTAAATGAAAGTCCAGCTTTGAAAGAATCTAAGTGACATGTTTGAATTCCTGTTAAGGAAACAAACTCTTTAAATTAGGTTGAATTATCATCGAGCAGAAATGTCTTCCATGAGTAGTTAGTGCAGTGAGATATCCAAAAGGAATTATGCACTTTCATAGTCAATGAAGGATATTTTAAGGAAGATCATGTAAGGCTCACAATTTTCTTTTCATTTTCGTTCTGTACCTGATCATTACGATCCCTGTGGGTCAGCAAGGTGCAGTGGTAGTCCTCTCGCCTCTGAGTCATAAGGTTGTGGGTTCAGGGACTTGGAATCACATTGTCTAAGATGACACTCCAATGCAGTGCTGGGGATGTGTTGCATTTAGTATGCCATCCTTCGGATGACATACTAAATTTAGGTCCCATCTGCCTGTTCAGGTCGATGAGAGAGATCCCATGGCACTATTCAAAAAGAGAAGGGAGTTTCTCTCTCCCAGGGTCCTGGGCAACAATCACCCAAATAAAATGTGTCACTTGCTCCATGGCTGTTTGTGGGACATTGCTGTGTGTAATTAGCTGCTGGATTTCACTCACAAAGTACAGTCAATTCACTTTACAGTATATTTTGTGAAGCGATTTGAGACTTCTCAACTCGCGATAAGATGTTCTGTCAAATGCAAGGATTATTATTATTATTATAATATGCAGATTGTGTGGGGCTGAGCTATTAGACTGTGCTCCTTATGTTTGCTGAAAGGAGGAAGAAGTCCACCTCAGTGTATCCATACTGCTCACCTCACTGACGGTGGACACCAACAAATGAGTCGGGAGTACCCTCTGCAGGAGGAAGTGCACAAAGAGCATATTAGTTGTCCTGTAAAGCTCTCTGATCATTAGCTTACATAGCGTTACATAGTGATATGCCATGGAAACAGGGTCCAACCAGTTTGTGCGGATGTTCATACTCTACACAAAGCACATCCTAATCCATTTCCTATACCTCTCTATTCACTTCTTCCTCAAGTGCACAAGTTTTTTCTGAAATACATGGAAGCTTGGCATGACGATGCTTACAGGTGATGGATTGCATTTTTGCATTGTGTTGTATATGATTAGCTCTTTCTTTCACACAACCTTAAAACCTCCGGCTGATTTCAGAAGAGCTTGAATCCCACTCCCACCCCCTACTCCGTTGGTGAGCATCAAAAGCTCTAATGAGATTGCTTAGCGCTGGAGGGGGTTTACTTGTCACCTCACAAGTTTTGTTACCTGCACAGCTTTTCTTTTGTAATGGAGACAGGTTGGCAGTGTCAAGGTGCCACTAACAGCAATGTGGCTATTTAGTTTATAATTTAAATAATCCCCAACTTCCCCTTCCCAAAGATTCTGTTCTGACTCCTGAGCCCCAACTTTGTCACAGTCCCCTAAGCCGTGTCCCACCTCCACTGCTCGATTCTGCTGTGTTCTTGTGATGCTGCTCACAGGTTCAGCTAAGAGGGATTGTGGGAACCCATTAAACTTCCCTACTCTGTTTGCAGGGAGGGTAGACGGGTGACCCGAAGCACCCATTACAAGCAGTAAATTAGAACGATTTCCGTTGGTGCATAGAGATACCACAGACACAGAGAAAGAGAAATTCAGACCCTGATCCTATCCTCACTCGGCATTCACGTGTAGGTTTTGCAAAAGCAGGAACTCCAGTTGCTTTTCCCCACCTTAACTAATGGGCATCAGGCCAATTGTGCCACCCCATTTGCTGCCCCAGCTGAGATCACTTCACTCAGCATAGGCCAGGGGTTAAACCTGTGATTTTGTGGCCCATACAGCCCAGTAGTCCACTGGAGGAGAAGAAGAGGAGGTACCTTCCTTATTGGCTCCATCTCTTTAAGAGCTACATTTCTTTCCATAAGAGAAAGCATCAACCTCTAGTATTGTAGTCACGTTACTGGGAACGATTTCCACTCTTTACACCATGTAATTATAACACTTTTTCTCCGGGTCAGCCCCATGACTGTGGATGTTCATAAGTGTTCACACACCCCAAAGGAAGTTTCTTTACTTTTCATTGAGTGAACCTGTAACCTAATATTGTGGCCCCAGCAGAGTACTTTAAACATATATAATACAATATTGCAACAGTTTCTGCGTAAACAGCGGTATCAAATTCAAATAAACACTTCATTTGTGGATACAGTAAAAGTCATAAGAGTAAAGACATTCAAGTAGATTGCAGTAATTTTATCCGGTGCAAAAGTTCATTTGATTCAATCTTACGCTTTTCCAAAAAAGGGGATTATATATCAGGACAAATGTCTATCCAGGAGCTGACATACAAAAGTACTCACACAGTGATGTGTCTTGCCACTGAATGAGATTCAGTTTTGTTTTTATCAGTTCCTCTAATAGTCGACCTGGCTCAGTTGGTGATATTCCCAGCTCTGAGTTATAAGGTTATGGGTTCAAGCTCCATGTTGGGATTTTGAGCTCATCGTCTAGGCTGACATTCCAATGCAGTAATGGGGATGTGCTACATTATTGAAGGAGCTGTCCTTTGGATGATGAGTTAAAGCAAATATTTAAGTGCATGTGAAAGATCCCATGGTGGTATTCAAAAAGAGATGGGAGTTAATGTTGCTGTCCTGGCCAATAATCCCCCCCCTTCTCCCCACTTCATTTCATGGTTGTTTGTCAGACATTGCTGTGTGTAAATTGGCTGCTGCAATCACCTCCAAAAATACACGGTCACTACACTTTACAGTAAAACCTGTTTAGTATTATGGTGATATAATGAAACACTATATCAAATTCGAGCTTTAATATTATTGTAGCAATTTCCAGTCATCAACTGATTTAGGGATAGCCGAACTCCAGACCTACTCCATCTGTTGTACATAACAGGACTTTGCTGTATCATTTTATTCCAGTATTACAGCCGGATCCAAGACAGTTCCATGTTAATTCACCTTCAGCATTATCTTATTCTATTCTGTTATATTCTTTTTTATGCTGATTTAACTGTTGTATTTGCCTGGTTTCTTGAAATGTTTGGGTGTCATATCCCACCCTGGAGGTGGGATCCATATCCTCCAAAATTGTTCTCTGGTTGTCTGAAAATCAGCTCCATTGGCCACTGTTTCAGCCAAGCGAGGGTTTAGATGTTCAAACATGACCTGGTGGAATCACTGAGGTCATCAGACAATCCTTTTGACATAGTATAAAGTTCATGGTGGAGTCCTGTAGCTCAGTGGTTAGAGCACTCGCTTTGCAAGTGAGAGACCTGAGTTCAATTCCAGGCAGAGGGCGAAACCTTGGGCAAGTTTCCTTACTCCACACAGAGCCTAATAATAATCCCTCCAAAAAAACAAAAACAATAATAATTTGGTCATTTTCAATCTACGACTGTTTGTGGGACATTGCTGTGCGCAATTGGCTGCTGCGTTCGCCCACAAATATACAGTCAATTCACTTTACAGTGTGTTCTGTGAAGCGCTTTGGGATGTCCTCCCGACGTGAAAAGCACTATATCAAATGCAAGGATTATTATTATTATTAAAAGGACAGATGGTTCAACAAGAATCAGTTTTTGAGGCATCCTTTTCCCTGACTGCTGGAGACTTATCTATTTGGTGCACTTATAGGAGTTAAAATTAAACAAATTAAATGGATTTAGCCTATAGTACTCCAATACACATTCTGGGGGTATAGGATATACAAGTAACTCTTATCATGGCATTATAGTATCTCAAAGTGCTTCACAAGTTTCACTGTAAAGTGTAGTGACTGTATTTAAAGGCAAATTAAACATTTAATCTGGGGGATTGCTGGAGAAACTTCCTAGTCATCAAAAATGTAAAAATGGCTTTTGAAAATAAAGTGGTATGAGATGTGAATACTTATTGTCCTTCATAATATTAATTATAATCCTCACATTTGATACAGTGCCTTATCACATCATTGAGATGTCTCAAAGCACTTCACAGAATATATTGCAAAGTGGATTGACTGTGAATTTTGTGGGCGAAACATACTTATTTGGATAAAAAACACCAAAGATAAATCAACTCAAAGGTTTTTTTTAGATTTATAAAAAAAGTATGATTTTCCGTTCTTTTCCTCAGCCTTGGACAAACTCAGCACTCAGCACCTCTACCATCCGACCCAGGTGGAGATAGTTCAATCCAACGTGGTGTTTGACATCAGCAGCCTGATGTTGTATGGGACCCAGGCTGTCCCCGTGCGTCTCAAGATCCTACTTGACCGGCTCTTCAGCGTGCTCAAACAGGAGGAGGTGCTGCAGATCCTGCACGGCCTGGGCTGGACACTCCGTGACTACGTCCGTGGCTACATTCTTCAGGTAGGAACGTGCAAAAAAAAAACACCACAAACTAACTCCAGCTTCAATTTGGTACTAATTGTTTCAGTCAGTCAACCTGATCGTGGGATTTTGTTGAGTTGTGTGGGATAGAACTTATTCCTTTTTCAGCTAGCACTCCAAGCACCAGAAAACTACCTCACTGACACGACAGTAAGTGTTGTCACAGGTATCCCAGCTTCCAGCTTGTCTGGCTTTAATGTTTTGAAAGAGTTTTTTTTAGACTTGCATTGGGTATCTGGGTACGTGTGGTATGTTGCACTTTTGCAGCGTAGCCAGGCATTGTAACTTGCTCTGATTTCTTCCTTGTGAATTGTGAATCACAGTTTGAGGCAAAACCCTCATTTGTCTAAGGAGAAAATAAAATAAAAACTACATATCAGTAGGGATGAAGATGTATTAACAGATCACAGTCAATTTCAAAACTTCATAGTACTGCATTGTGTTTCTCTTACTTTATGGAGGACCAGTAAATAATCTATCCTCCACTATAAATTAACATATTTTATTTACAACAACAACTTGGGTTTATATAGCGCCCTCCTCTCTGGACGGCGTCTCAGAGCGTTTCACAGTAACGGATCCCGGGACCAAGCCAGGGGGAGGGGGAGGAAGGTGACCAAAGGCACGGTCGAAGAGAAAGGTCTTCAGCAGGGACTTGAAAATAGGAAGAGAGGGAGCGAGGCGAAGGGAGTGAGGAAGGGAGTTCCAGAGCCTCGGGGCTTAGTGGCTGAAGGCATGGTCGCCGAGGGTGGAGCGGAGGACTCGGGGGACGAGGAGGAGGCCAGACCCAGAGGAACGAAGGCAACAGGTACTGTTTTGAGGAGGAGGAGGTCAGAGAGGTAGTGGGGTGCAGAGGAGTGCAGGGATTTGATTACAAGGGTGAGGATCTTGAGGTTGATCCTTTCTGGGATAGGCACCCTGTGCAGTCTGGCAAGGACTGGGGTGATCAGGGAGCGGAGTTTGGTGCTTAAAAATTAAGAATGAAAACAAACCGCTTTTTGGGGAAAAAATCTCATTCGTAACACTGCTGTCTGTTTTCAAGAGGATTAGATTCCTTCTGTTAGAAGATTGAGATGACACATGCCCAGGGTGCTTGCAAAGTGTGCTGATGTGCTTCTCTCCTGCCGTGTGCTGTGCACTCGTTTCCTAATGATTCCCTTAATCGGATGTGCCCCAGTTAGGGTGAGTTTGCTTTGGATGTGATTGGGTTTCCCCAAAAGAAAAGAGCACAGCCACCAGCCCAGATGTGCTCTCTCTGAACAAGTTCAACCGCTGTAAGCTTTACATTTTATGTGCTCTGGCAGCTGTGAAACTCTATCCAGTCCTGACAGTTTCAGCTCCACTAGCTTTCTGCATTTTTTCGCCTAACAAGATCTATGCATGAATGCATTTCATTGGGATTAATAGCGAGCGCACAGGCACCCTTGGTGGGATAATTTTCCCCTCTTTTATATTTGTTTAACATTGCATTGAAGCAACAGTCAAACTACCTGGTGAGTCATATCACTGACAGAAACCAGTCGTTAATCAAGAATATAGCTTCAGGCTGTGTAATTGTCATGGTGTTGTTACCTTCAAGCAGAAAATTCCCAATCTGTAAATAAATGGGGCAAAACGTGTTCACGATGATGGTAGAAAATTGACTTGGGTGGACAGCCTTTGGAATCAAATTGGCCCAAGAGAGTTTTAAAGATAATTCCCTCCTACCCAACTGTACGTCATAAATTCCGTAGTCTTCCAGTGCACTTTAAAAATGGTGCCGTTTGTTATACTTTGTTGCCCTACACAAACCTTCTCCCGAGATTGGAGGAAGTCTGTGGGCAGAAGGCCAAAGCTGCTAAATGAAGCTTTGAACTAGCCGCTTCTGATTGAAGTGGCAGTGGAACGAACAAAGCTGGTATAAAGTTTACTGCCCTCCATTGCTTTGGTGTTTGTATCTGCTTATGTTTACATGGAAGGAATGGCTTTAAAAAGGGGTCAGAAAGAGTTCTGATAAGGTGGAAAGGCATCAGAAGGTGTACATTAAATGTATCATTTTGCTCTGCCACAGCAGTCAGCCTCTGTTCTGCATCAGAGCTGCTGCTGGGAAGTCAGGAGAATTGCAGACCGCAAGTGCAAATCAATACATTACATTTTACTTTAATTTTGTTTGAAAATAACCGTACCCTTAATCTAATAGCAATAATAGACTCAAAAGTGTGTGTTTGCAAAGATCCAGAGTTTAAGCAGCTCTGGGTCTTTGTTTTGTGCACTTGTCTTCACGCAGCCCCTGAAACACATGATAAACGCACATCTTCTTGTTAATTACGGCCTCATTTTTGCACTGCTCCCTTCTGAGGCTGTTCACTGCAGACCATCACCACTCTATTGATAAAGAGACGAGAAAAGCTTTGCAAGTTGATATCCCAGGCTGTACCTTTGCTAGTTGCAATGATTGGAAATTGGAGCCCTAAGGTGTGATAAACCATATAATGACACCATTAGGTGGGAGTTCTGACTGAGGCTGACAGTAAGTGGGTCACCACATAAACATTCAGCGCAATATTGAAGTCTTGTTGCTTTCAGCTACACATACACTCAAGTGAAGGCAGTCATTAGGATGAATAAAAAAGATCCGGAAAGACTTTCCTCAGAAAGACATCCTCATCGCCGGAGGTCTGAAAATTCTCATGGTTTTTAGCCTAAAGATTATCATTCCCTTAAAATTTAAGAGAGTGCAGAATTTTGAAAAATTCTTCAATTCAACCATAATTTGAAAGCTGGTTTTCTTCTGATCCTAGGGGAGTGAGTGACTAGAGGACATAGATATAAAAGAGAGTCACAAGAAGAACGAAAGGGAGAGCTTAGGAGAATTTTTTTTCTCACAGAGAGTTAGTGGGATATGGAATGCCCTGGCAATTAATGTGGTCGAGCCATAGTCCACTGCAGTTTTCAAGAGGGTAGTAGACAGGTGTGTATGAAGGTTAGAGGCTTGAAGGGGATTGGGTGGAGCAGTGGAATTGAATGAACAACTTGTTCTGAGAGTTGGTGTAGATTTAATAGCTACCCCTGCGGTGTAAATTTCCATGATTCTATAATTCTAACTGTGGAAAATCACCGTCCAAATTAAGACTGAATGTAATAATTTTCCAAAATTTTCTGCACTTTCTTAAATGATGAGACAATGGTCTGATGGCTAATACCTTGAGAAAGGCCTGGAATCTAATGCCATTTTGGAGCCTGAATTTCCACTTATTTTAAGACCATTTTGCTTTAAAATTCAGAATAGTTGAAGATGGTAACTGCTGCTGTAGGGGGTGGCAAGAGCCACCTAAAGAGCTGGGGTTTGCACCAGGGATCATCGAGACAATTATTAAATCATTATCTCTTAGGTCACCAGCCTCCATTGCTCTCTGGCTGTGGATTGGCTGAACTACCAGGATTTCCATAACTAAGTTGTTGGAGAACTTTCCCAGATAGCTGGATGCTCCAGGGTCTGGAAGTTAAGTCACTGCTCATGTATGAGTTTGAGCTTGCCTGTGCGATATTGGTTGGCTCACAGTGTAAGTGGGAGTGCGTGTATATAATAATAATTCTTGTATTTGATATAACACCTTATCATGTCTTCGAGATGTCTCAAAGCACTTCACAGAATATACTGGTAAAATGTATTGACTGTATGTTTGTGGGCAAAACATGGCAGCCAATTGCGCATAGCAGTGTCTCACAAACAGTCATGGATTGAGTGACCAAATTGTTTATATTGTTATTTTGAAGGGATAATATTATATTATATATTTTGACATTGGCTTTTCTTATGAAAGACTTTTTTTCCTCCTATAAATAACGCACTTTGTGCTAAAAAAGCTATGGAATGTAGGGGTAAAAACAGAGACATTCAAAGTCGAATTATCACATCATCAGAAAGGACAAACCAAACTTGTGGACCGGTTTGGGAGTGTGAGAATAACTTACCCCCATTTCCTACCCCCACTTTGACACAACCGTTTGGTCCAAAGTTGTTCGCAGTATCCTTGCATAGAGTACTGTAGGGTATTTGTTAGCGCACTCGCCTCGCAAGCGGGAGGACCCGGGTTCAATTCCCGGACAGGGTAAAACCTTAGGAAAGTTTTCTTATTCCACATGCCTCTGTCAATATGTAGGAACTGCTTGTTAGTCAATTCACAAATTGCTTTCCAGGAGTAATAATCCCTACAAAAAAAAATGTTTTAAATAATAATTTGGTCACTCAATCCATGACTGTTGTTGACATTGCTGTGCACAATTGGCTGCTGAGATTCGCCCACAAAATACACTAGTCAATTCACTTTACAATATATTATGTGACGCATTTTGTAACATCTCTATAACTTGATAAAACGCTGTATCAAATGCAAGGATTATTATTATTAATATCCAAGTAGCGACATCATTATATTTGCTGTCTGTGATTGGGACCTTTCAGTTTAATAATCCTTGCATTTGATATAGTGCTTTTCAAGTCGGGAGGACGTCCCAAAGCGCTTCACAGAACACACTGTAAAGTGAATTGACAATATATTTGTGGGCGAACACGGCAGCCAATTGCGCATAGCAATGTCCCACAAACAGTTGTAGTGTCCCACAAACTTCAAATTAGGACACTGCAGTCACTTGAAGTCAACATCTGCGCAGTTTGCTTCATTCTGGAGTTTGTTTCATTTCAAACTATGTCCTGAAAAAAAATTTCCACTTTCAGTTTTACCTTTTTAACCATTTATAAGAACATATTGATAATTGCTGTAGATGGCTGGCAGTCATTTACCACACACAGATTATGTTGGCTCCATGTACACACAATGAGGCCGTAAAAGTGAGAAATTCTCAAATGACACTTTGTTATATTCATTGTATTTCAAAATTTGCAGCCAACAAATCCCAAATCCTAAACTGGAAAAATCCGGCGAAAACCGGTGAACAAAACACCGATGGGAAACGGATGGTCATAAATTGTGCCACAA